AGCTGATGCTTCAATTGTTGGTAAAAGTAATTTTGTAAGATACTTGTTTTGAAAAATTATAAAATAAGCACAATTAGTATATATTATGTGAATCTAATACAAATGATTAGATTGAATTAAATCAAAACTTACAAAATGCCCAACATGATTGGTTCCAAATTGGTCTTGAATTCCATCAACAGTTAAAGAAAACTTACTTTTATCATGAAAATTAAATACACAAATATTAATTAATTAATTAAAAATAATAAAAATAATAAAAATAATAAAAATATAAAATAAAGATTAACTCACGTTGCCATTATACCAGCATTATTTATCCTGATAAAAATTAATTTATTTAATTTAAACATAAAAATATTACATTATAGTTTATAAATCAATTAAATTGCTACTATGTTAATTATCCACAAAAAATATTCAATTAATTTCTAGATATGTCTAACCCACCAATAAAATTACCACATTATTATGATTAAATTTATTACTTACAAGATATGTTTACTTACATGATATGTAAAGGTAACTTTCGAACCAAAAAAGATTCAACGCACTCTTTAACAGATTTGAAACTTTGTAGATCTAATTGTAAAAAATCAACGTTTTGATTTCCTGTTTCTTGTTTAATTTTTTCAACAGCTGCTGTCACACCTTTTCAATACTACGACACATGTGCATTTTTTCTTGCCAGCTCTCTACACGTAATATACCAATACCCATGTTGCCACCAGTTGCCACCACAACCTATAAGACAAATAATGATAATCAATGAATGAATGAATTGAATAGTAATTAAAAAATCTGATTTGATAATAGTAATTAATTACTTTGCCGGTTAAATATGAAATGTCTTCAAATTTAAATTATTTAGTAAAAACATTTCTATTATAATTTAATATTTTAAACAAGAAGAAAATTAAAAAACGTTCACACAATTTTATATAATTTTTTCAGACAAGTATTTGCTATTATTGATACTATATAACTACATTATTATCTTTATGCCTATTCCTGTATTTTAATTAATTATAAATTTATATCTTGATAAATGTTTTCTGCTATATGGTAATAACCGTGGGAAAAATGCATTGCTGATCCAACCATCTTTAATTTCAAATGATAGTGTATAAAATAAAATCAATTCTTATTCCCAACCATGTAGTTATCAACAAAAATATCCACAGCCGCAATTTTATCTGGTGGCATATTTATCAAATTAGTGGTTGCAGATACTTTTACAATCAAAATTGTTTATTTTTAATTTTATTACAAATACATATTTCATTTTCTACTTTATGTCTTTTAGTTTTTCATTCACTAGATCATCAGTAAATTTCCATAATTTTTTTGCCAGTTCTTCATCTTTGCCATTATCGTTTGGTGGAGATTCTACGCCAAATGGAACAAAAAATTTTCCATGCAAGTTCTTCTCTTCAATCTCGGGACTTGTTGCACAATATAACGAGGTTAATGCTCCATCATCAGGTGTAAGTAATACAAAACTCAAAAGTTTAACAAGTGGAACTACCCATATACCCCAATTATCTATAATACCTCTTGACAATTCAGTATTTATGACTCCTAATTAAATAATTAAAAAAATGAACGAATTATTTTTTTTTATATTGTTTGTTTGAAAAAAATCATTGTTACCTGGATGTAAAGAATTGGCATAAACTTGTTTTCCTTCAAGTCTTTTATTTAATTCAACTGTAAATAAAATATTTGAAAGTTTTGATACTCTATAACGTTCTATTGGTGCTTGAGCATCTGGATCATTTATTTTATCAAATTCTATTCCACCCTTAGGTGCATGTTTATGAGCCATACTATTATTTAATATGAAATTAATATAATGGATAAATATATGGATGTTGATAATTGACTATCTAAATAAATAATAGACCTGCTAACATTAACTATTCTTGATGGAGCTGATGCTTCAATTGTTGGTAAAAGTAATTTTGTAAGATACTTTATTTTGAAAAATTATAAAATAAGCACAATTAGCATATATATTGGTGTGAATCTAATACAAATGACTAGATTGGATTAGGTTAAAACTTACAAAATGCCCAACATGATTGGTTCCAAATTGGTCTTGAATTCCATCAACAGTTAAAGAAAACTTACTTTGATCATGAATTAAATATATATAAATATTAATTAATTAAAATAATAAAATATAGTAATAGATTAACTTACGTTGCCATTATACCAGCATTATTGATCCTAATAAAAAATTCATCGTCATTAGTCTAATTAATTAAACCCTATTTGTTGTATATAGTTTATTACTTACAAGATATGTAAAGGTAACTTTCGAGCCAAAAAAGATTCAGTGCATTCTTTAACAGATTTTAAACTTTGTAGATCTAATTGTAAAAACTCTACGTTTTGATTTCCTGTTTCTTGTTTAATCTTTTTGACAGCTGCTGTACCTCTTTCGATACTACGACTTAGAACAAATACATGAGCATTTTTCCTCGCTAGCTCTCTACATGTGACATACCCAATACCAGTGTTGCCACCAGTTACCACCGCAACCTATAAAACAATGATTATGAGTCGACCAGTAATTAAAATATCCAATTTAATCAATTAATTACTTTGCCAGTTAAATCCGGAATGTCTTCAAATTTAAATTTTTTGGTATTAGTAAAAAACATTGTCAATTTAATTTAATATTTTAAACGAGAAGAAAATTAAAAAAACATTTATCAGTTTATATATATACCATTTTCACAATGGTGATCCTACAATTACATATTTTTGGATAATTTTCTACTATCACTGTATTTTAATTTGTAATAACATCAGGAAATTTTTTTTTCGATATAGATAAATATGGAAATGATGTATTTCGATATTTATCCCAACCGTGTAGTAATTAACAAAAATATCCACAAACGCAATTTTATTGGTCAAAATTGGAATTTTTGTGGAGTAGTAAATAATCAAAATTGTTTAAAATTTATTTTAATTTTATTACAAATACATATTTCATTTTCTATTTTATGTCTTTTAGTTTTTCATTCACTAGATCATCAGTAAATTGCCATAATTTTTTTGCCAGTTCTTCGTCTTTGCCATTATCACCTGGCAGAGATTCTACACCAAATGGAATGAAATATTTTCCATGAAAGTTCTTTTCTTCAATCTCAGGACTTGTTGCACAATATAATGTAGTCAATGCCCCATCATCAGGTGTAAGGAGTGCATAATTTACAAGACTAAGAAATGGGACTACCCATCTACCCCAATTATCTATAATACCTCTGAACAATTCAGTATGTATAGATCCTAATTAAATAAATTAAAACAAAATGAATGAATTATTTTTCATTTTTGTTATTTTGTTTGAAAAAGTTATTATTACCTGGATGTAAAGAATTGGCATAAACTTGTTTTCCTTCAAGCCTTTTATTTAATTCAACTGTAAATAAAATATTTGAAAGCTTTGATACTCCATAACGTTCTATTGGTGAATGAGCATTTGGATCATTTATTTTATCAAATTCTATTCCATTCTTAGCAAGTTTATGACCTATACTATTATTATTTAATATGAAATTAATATAATGGATAAATATATGGATGTTGATAATTGACTATCTAAATAAATAACCAACCTGCTAACATTAACTATTCTTGATGGAGCTGATGCTTCAATTGTTGGTAAAAGTAATTTTGTAAGATACTTTATTTTGAAAAATTATAAAATAAGCACAATTAGCATATATATTATGTGAATCTAATACAAATAGTTAAATCAAAACTCACAAAATGCCCAACATGATTGGTTCCAAATTGATCTTGAATTCCATCAACAGTTAAAGAAAATTTACTTTTATCATGAAAATTAAATACATAAATATTAATTAATTAATTAAAATAATAAAATTAATAAAAATACAAAATATAGATTAACTTACGTTGCCATTATACCAGCATTATTGATCCTAACAAAAAAAATTTATTATCATTAGCTAATCAAACTTTGTTTGTATATAGTTTATGGATCAATTTATTTATTACTTACAAAACATGTAAAGGTAATTTTCGAGCCAAAAAAGATTCAGCGCATTCTTTAACAGATTTTAAACTTTGTAGATCCAATTGTAAAAACTCTACTTTTGGATTTTTTGTTTCTTGTTTAATCTTTTCAACAGCTGCTGTGCCTCTTTCGATACTACGACTTAAAACAAATACATGCGCATTTTTTCTTGCCAGCTCTCTACACGTAACGTACCCAATACCCGTGTTGCCACCAGTTACCACCACAACCTATAAAACCAATAATGATTAATTAATTTATGAGTTGACGAGTAATTAAAATATCCAATTTGATAATTAATTACTTTGCTAGTTAAGTCCGGAATGTCTTCAAATTTAAATTTTTTGGTACTAGTAAAAAACATTGCTAATTTAATTTAATGTTTTTAAACGAGAAAAACCTTTATACAGATTTTTACCAGTTTTATATATAAGGAATATACTGCACACAAGTGGAAGAAAAAATATCCGCAACCGCAATTAATATTAATCAAATTTGACGGTTGCAGATAACGTAATAGTAAGAAATCAACGAAATCAATCCAGTGCAACATTAATCTCTATTTCAGGGTTAATTGTTGTTTTTTTTTGGATTTTTTTTAAAATGAAATGATTTAATGCCTTTTTGATAATTTTATCTATAAAAAGGAATTTGCAGTTTCACGTAGTTTGTTGCGTTGTGATATATACTCTCTATGATCATGAAGACAAAAATGCATTATTGTCTATACCGAGGTAAAATCGTTGTATTTTAAAGAACTATTACCTTTTTTACCAATTAATGAAAGAGATATTAGCAAACAATCGTTTTTTTGATCAATTATCTTAACAAACAATAAACCATTACTTTTTTTGGTTAACAAAACTATTAATTTCTTTGACAAATGAAGAACTCTTACTTTTCCGATTAATTAATGAATGAAAATTAACTGATCCCTTCCTTTCTAAAGCTTGTTCTATTTTATTTTCTTGGTTTTTCATTTACTAGATCGTCGGTGTCAGTTCTACATCTTTGACATTATTGTTTGATGAAAGGAACAAAATATTTTCCATGTAAGTTCTTCGGGATTTGCTGCACAATACAATGTAATCAATGCCCACCTATTCATCAGGTGTAAGTGATACGACCTAAAATGTGACTGTCTACGTATCTATAATGCTTCTTGTCGATTTAGTTTTATGGCTACTAATTAAATAAATTAAAGAAATGAATGGACTATTTTTTTATATTGTTGTTTTGTTTGAAAAAAATAATTATTATTGTTATTATTATTACCAGGATGTAAAGAATTGGCATAAACTTGTTTTCCTTCTATTTGATTCAACTGTAAAATAAAATATTTGAAAGTTTTGACTATTCCACCTTTAGGTGCATAATTAATACGGCAAAATGTGTCGATCATTTGAAACAAAAAATACGGCACATGATTTAACATTCAACGCCTTAATGCATTTAATATAACAAATATAATTTATTCAGATATATGACCATTTGTTATTACAATTTGTCATTACAAAATATATATTACATTGACCTGTTGATAATTATTTATACCCTTTAGCAGAAACAGCCAAGCATTGTAGTTCTCCAAGTTTGATGATATTTTTACTAATTTATTACTTTTCCATGATCTATTATATTTTACTATTTCAGGAAATAATTAATGAGTACTTTTATATATAGTTGCCAAATCAATAATAAAGTAATACTTTTACGTTTTACAAATCACATAAGCCACTTAAATATTTGACATGTCCAAGCTTTTTTTACAAGATCTTGAGCTTAGGTGAATGAATTAATGAATGAGAGCCAACAAGTGAGTGGGTGGTATTCTCAACCTTCAACCATAAATTATCAATCTGACTTTATCGTTGGATAAATTGTGAATTAAAAAATTAATAATACATTACAAATATAACTACTTGAATATACCACTATTCCAAAAGAACGTTTCTTATTAAATTGTTTGCTCATGTAAAGAGTTTGTAGTTGATATTAAGAGCTAGTAATGATTCATGCCAAGGTAGTCTCATTTCTATTTATTACTATACATACATACATACATACATACATACATATAATTAAAAATGAAATATTATTAGTACAATTGTCTTATAAAATTCTAAATTTTTTTTATAAATCGATAACTATTAAGGTTAACATGAAGACTGTTCATTTAGTTTTCCTTAATTTAACAAAAAAATATAGTAGAGGACAAGAAAGAATTCGTAACGTATGTTGAACTTCACATTTACCTTTTTAGTAAAACTTCATTAACAAAAGTTATTAAAAGCATACTGTTCAATAGCTTTAATCCCAGAGAGTATATATACAAAGTTTCATTTAAGTTTCGCAATTTTACAAAAAGTTTTATTTTTTGCCATATAATGTGATGTGTAACCTTAATCCTAAGGAAAATATCTCGAAGTCAGCATGGTTACTAAGTTAAAATTAATTTTCGTGATGAATTGCATGTATAAATGCTGTCAACTCAAAACCATGATCTTTGTAATTTATATTGTCAATCTCTTGTTTACTATTTTTTAAAAAAACTAACAGAAAATTTATTAAGTGGGCATGGCTTCTAAACTAAAATTATTCTTTGTGACAAGTTACATATATATATGGTATCAACTCAAAATTATGATTTTTGACGTTGAACCCCTTTCTATTGCCCATGCTATGTTTGTAAATAACATGATGTGGACACTCATCCAATTATCTATAGGACCTCTTGGCAATTCAGTATGATTCCTGATTAAATAAATTAAAAAAATGAATGAATTGGCATAAACTTGTTTTCCTTCAAGCCTTTTATTCAATTCAACTGTAAATAAAATATTTGAAAGTTTTGATAGTCTATAATGTACTACTGGTGCTTGAGCATCTGGATCACTTATTTTATCAAATTCTATTCCACCCTTAGGCACATGTTTATGAGCCATACTATTATTTAATATGAAATTAACATAATGGATAAATATATGAATGTTTGTTAATTGACTATTTAAATAAATAACCAACCTGCTAACATTAACTATTCTTGATGGGCTAATGCTTCAATTGTTGGTAAAAGTAACTTTGTAAGACATTTTATTTTGAAAAATTATAAAATAAGCACAATTAGCATATATATTGTGTGAATCTAATATAAATAGTTAAACCAAAACTTACAAAATGCCCAACATGATTGGTTCCAAATTGATCTTGAATTCCATCAGCAATTAAAGAAAATAAATATTAATTAATTAAAATAATAAAAAAAATAATAAAATATAAATTAACTTATGTTGCCATTATACCAGCATTATTATTGATCCTAACAAAAAATTTATTAATTTAATTAAACTCTGTTTGTATATAGTTTATGGATCAATTTCAAGCCAAAAAAGATTCTGCACATTCTTTAACAGATTTTAAGCTCTGTAGATCCAATTGTAAAAACTCTTTGATTTTTTGTTTCATGTTTAATCTTTTTCAAATAGCTGCTGTGTCTCTTTCTTAGAGCGCACAATGTCATATTTTAATATTAATGGATGAACGTTTTGCTATATAGCCGTGTGAAAAAACCGCATGCAAATGATTTCCATAAAAAGAAAGATAAGTACTTGGGAAAATATTGTTCAAGCTTATACGAATTTTTTAAATATTCACACAATAACGTCTATATTACCATGTTTTTCCAGATTCCCGAACAAACCATTGACTTGATGTAGCATTACACACAAAATAATATAATTTTCCACAAACTTCTAATGAAAATTCAATATTGTGTGAATTTGGCCATTTTGTTATACATGTCACCCACTCACTTATCAACTTATCCTCCTCCTGAAAACTCTTAAACATAAGAATAATTGGCACCAATTGTAAAAGAAAAACTGAATATTATTTTGAGTTTTGCACATAATAATCATAAGTCCATTGTCTATTGGTTGTCTCTTTCCCAATACTCCATAATATGTTTTATTTTTTAGATTACAATAATAATAACATTTTTAAATCAATTATTTTATATAATAATAACTAGTTGTATCCGTACATAAACAAACTATAAACAAGAAATTTGGATATTTGAATGTTACAAGGTTTTTATTATTGTGAGACTATTTATTATTGCCCTCTTTTTATATAAAGTATGCCCCAAAAGCAACAAAGCTGTGCACGTGTCTAACTAAAAAAAATAAGCCTCCCAAAAATGAGTATGGTCTAATGTATCTTGCTGTTTTAATAAACAATCTTGAATGATGATGATTATTATTTGTCGAAGGAGAATAAATTATTTTTGTTACGATGATGATCACCGCCAATCAGTTCAAAGCTATTTATTTCTTTCCAAATTTGTATTTTCCTTAAATCCACAATCGTTGTCTATCCATCAGTTCTAACTGTAATAGTAATAGGCCAATTACTACATGTGAATAATGTAAATCCTTTCGCCAACACTTGTATATTAAAAAAAAATGAGGTTATATTTATTATTTTTTTTGAAAACCCCTCGATATCCTTAATAATCAAGATGAATTTGTTAATAATAACAAAAAATTTTACATTTTCTACATATATAATAATGTTAATTAGCCTACTGACAATATTTATATGCTTGTCATCGTTTAGTTCACCATCAAAAATTTCAATAATACGTAAAATTATATTAATATCGGTGATTTCATCAATTTATTTGTTACCTTTAATTGTTGGATCAAATTTTTCATGTAAAAACCATTTGTCAATTCCTGTTATAATAGCATCTTTAACATTCAAAATGTTGTTATGGTTGAAAAAATCAACAGCAACTACAATAAAAAAGCATGAAGAAATAGAAAAAGATTTCAAACCTTTCATATGGACATTATTTCACTGGAGAAAAACCGATAACTTTAGTACCACTAATTACGATAATTTGAGTTGCATTAATGATAAAATCATCAACTCTACCAACTTTAGTGACTCGATTAAAAAAAAGGAACAAATAAATCTTAAATCATATTTATTGTCAAGATTATTTAGTCTTCTAGAAATGTTTCTAATTCGAGAGGTCTGCTTAATATTCTTGGAATCATTCACCGTCTCAATACCTGATAGACCATACATTCTGAGAATAATGGACTATATAATTGCATCATTTAAATTGGCATCGACATCACCACCACCACAACTGCTCCTAATGGATCAAACATTAGATCACATATCGTTATCAGCATCTGCACCATTTGTTACTTCATCAACAATATTATTATATTGTTACTGCTATAGTATATTTCTATATATTAATATGAATTCTATTTATGAACAACTTCTCTTAATATCAGCGGGCTCATTATGGATCTTGGAAAATATTTCTTTGCCAATCACAAATAAATTGTTGATGTTATTATTAAATGCTACTACCAATAATAATAACATTGAAAAAAATTGCAAATATTCTTTTTTTCTAAATTCTTTTCAACGGTTTCTATTAAAATCAACAATAATAATGGCAAGGATTAGGAATTGGTTGAGGAGGACATTATTTGAATCAGAGCCATTATTTAATAAACCATGGTTATCATCAAACCCAAAAGATTTATGGAGTAAAAGGTATGTATACATACACATAAACACACATACACACATATACACACATATAACTTCTAACTCTCTAAATCTTTTTAAATTATTAATAATATCTATTTGACTTTGACTTTAGGTGGCATCAGATATTTAATGAAAGTTTTAAAGAATTAGGCTATTATCCAATCAAAAATCTTTTAGTATCACTATTTCCAAATTATTGCAAAGAAAAGAATATGGTTGTTGGAAATGTATTAGGATTATTTGCAAGTTTTTTATGTAGTGGGATATTTCATGAATATATATTTTATTCGTTATTTGGTACTTCAAAAGGTGAACATTTGACATTTTTTTTGTTTCATGGATTGTTGATGGTAATGTGGAAATTTGCTCATACTGTTATTCAAAATATAGAGGAAAAAATTTATTATCAGAAAAAGTTTATTATCATAAACTTCATCACCAATAATAAAAAATCTATGGAATTTATAATTTGGAATTCAATTTTAATTTTTACAATTCCTTGGTTTATAGAGCCTTACATTCGTAAAAAACATTATTATTGTTTTCATCATTTATCTTGCAACAATAAATAATTTTTTTTTGGATTTGACATATTTTCAGCTGAAATTAGCATAAAAAATTCAAATAGTTCAAATTGTGGATTTTTTTATTTTGTAAATAATATTAGAAAAAAAAAAACTTTAGCTGCAAATACAGAAAAATTATTTGATTATCTACGATTGTTATAAGATATGTTATAAATTCCTAGATCTAAAATAGTTTCAAAGTTAAGTAAACCAGAACCCGTTTTCATTTTATTGTCATCAATTTGCATCTCTTGATTAAAAATTAAAATTATTAATGAGATATATGAGAAATTCCTTATTATTATAATTGTTATAACTACATTACCATATGGCTCTTCCGAGTTATTTAATTTGTTCATCATTGTTTTTTGATCTAAATTAAATATATTTTGATTTATTATTATGAATGACCATAACAAAATCATGTGATTTAAGAAAAATAATAATAAATACTTTCGAAATAATTATAAACAGATGGTTGAGATTGTGGTGGTGGCACTGATGTTCTGTAACCTTTTTGATTGATATTTTGATTGAATGAAGGTGGTTGTTGCTGTGGTGGAGTTACCGAGTCATAAGGATGTGATGAATTTGAAGGGAAGTTAGTAGCTGGAGAATGCGTTGATCGAGATTGTTGTTGAACTGATGAATATTGTCCTTGTTGATGTTGATGTTGCTGTTGATAATTATGATGATGTCCTTGTTGAAAATTATTGTGATGATGTTGCCGTTGTTGTTGTTCTTCTCGTTGCCGTTGTTGTTGTTCTTCTCGTTGCCGTATTAGCAATTGTTCTTGTACTTGATCCCTTTCTTGTTTTACCATTTTTAATCTATCTTCTTCTGATTGAAATGAATTACTAGTCTTACTAGTGTTATTGATAATATTGGTATCAGTAATTGGAGAGGTTGATCCATCCATATTTTATTTATTATAAAAATTCAAAAAAATTATATGGAATTATTTTTTTCTAGTTTAATTAGTGTAATAATTACGTAATGATGTCAATCATATATTATTATATCATAAAATTTAAACTCGAATTTTATAATCGAATGTCATCACACCCTCGTTTGATTACCCTTGTTGTGTAGCAACCACCACCAAATTTGAGATATAATTTCTTTATCATATGTATCTGCTTTAAGAAAATTTTTAAGGCAG